GAGGCTGACCCCTGGCCCAGGACAATTCTTCCTCCATCTGCCACTTCCTGTCCATGTGATGGGTGTCTGCAGTGGCTCTGTGGATAGTAAGTTCTAGCACACGAGAGTGGCCCTTCTGGCTAGCCTGAATAGACGGGGGAAACATGTTCTGGCAAAGTCCACCTGCTTCGAAGGACAAGAGCTTATCCTCAGTTCGCAGGGGAGACCAGACATCCCGGCACAGTCTGGAACAATCACTGTCACCTTTCCAACTTCCGTGTTGATGACATCAAATGACAGATGCCAGAGACATAATTAAAAATGAACGAGAGTTTCCCATGATTCACTCAAGGGGTAGGAGGATTCTGTTAGTCAGAGAAGCTCAGCACCATTTATTAGCTGCTACCTGAAGTTTAGCATTTGTTTTCATTATGCCTCGCTTGGAATTAAGCAAAAAAAAAAAAAAAAAAAAAAAAAGGTGTTCCAACACGACCAGCTGCTCCAGATCCCAAACTGCTTCCCAGTTGACATTTTCATTTAATCTTTTGTTTTGTTCGGTGTGTTTTTTATGATCGATGTTTTTCTCTCATCGAACAAAGAACAAAATGGAGACAATAAGCTCAATTCTTAACAGGTTAAATGTCATGAAAAGTAAAATATGACGACATTGCCAGCTCACCTGTCTGTCCCAACCCCTGAAAATACCTGAAATCCCCCTATGCTACTCATGTCATTTCCTCTGGGAGAAGCACCCAGCTGGACTCTGTCCTCCTTCACGGAGCCCCCATGGGGGAGGGGGGTTGGGGGCAGAAGCAGACCTTATGTCAGCCAGGTCCAGTTGCATTTTTCTTTTCGTTATTATCCAGGTGTCAAATGCTGGACCAGAAGAAGGTGGTCTCATAGAACCTTCATCCAATTATCCTTTCTCAAAAAGAGATCGGAGAGTAACTGTGTGGGTCAACTTAAAAGAAGACAAGAGGTGAGCACTCCTGGTGCGTGGGAGGGAGCATTCTATCACCTGCCCGTGATCAGAAGCACACACACCGGTTAACTCAGAGCAGCGATTTTCAACCTTTTTCATCTCATATGAATTATAAATTACTAAAATTCGGTGGCACATCAAAACATATATATATATATATATATATATATATATATATATATATATATATATATATATTTTTTTTTTTTTGGCTGATCTGACCAAAATAAAAGCTATACTTTTGATTCATTCACACTAGATGGCTATTGTGTTGGCTTCTGTCATTTTATTTATTTATTTATTTATTTATTTATTTATTTATTTATTATTTTATTGATTTTTAAAAAAATATATTTTATTGGTTTTTTACAGAGAGGAAGGGAGAGAGATAGAGAGCTAGAAACATCGGCCAGCTGCCTCTTGCACACCCCCCACCGGGGATGTGCCCACAACCAACGTACATGCCCTTGACCGGAATCGAACCTGGGACCCTTCAGTCTGCAGACCGACGCTCTACCACTGAGCCAAACCAGCTCCAGCTATTTTATTGATTTTTTACAGGGAGGAAGGGAGGAAGGGATAGAGAGCTAGAAACACCGATGAGAGAGAAACATTGATCAGCTGCCTCCCGCACACCCCCTACTGGGGATGTGCCTGCAACCAAGGTACATGACCTTGACCGAAATCAAACCTGGGACCCTTCAGTCCATAGGCCGACGCTCCATCCACTGAGCCAAACCGGTCAGGGCTGCTGCTATTTTTTAATTTGACAATCTAAGGGAAAAGAGGTAAGTGCCCCTGACTCAATAGTCAGGCATTTCATGTTTTCAAAATTCTTGGGGCGCACCAGGGTGCCTGCCACGGCCCAGGGGGAGGGAATCGCGGACTTAGAGCATCAGGAAGTCAGGGGCCTGCCCCTCTGAAGCTCACATTCTAATGGGAGGAGGAGTTGTGTGACACTCAACAAACAGCTCAATCACTGGCAGGCAGAGGGTGGGACAGTCAACAAGATGAGCAGGCATCAGGGACGTCAGCCAATTCCCCACCTGAAGAGACAAAAATAGTTTCAGGAATGAAGTAAAACAGAAATGTCTACCCAAATCTGTGTCAAGTGGGAATTTGGAAACTCAGTCGATTTTTGCCAATTTCAAAATCAGTAAAAGAAGTCAGTTTATTGAAATGACCTGAAGAATTTAAAAAATGGCGAAAGAACCCTGTAACTGTAGGACAGGGTTTGAATCTCTGCTTAACTCTTGGTCTGATTGGGTCACACACTGCTACGTACGGCTGGGAAGAGATCCAAGCAAAAATGTAAGCAGCTGAGAAAAGGGGGCACAGGGTGACGGCATCTATCAACCACAGCTTGTCCCCGACTTGATACCCACTCACACACCTCCCCAAATGCATCTGCACAACCTCTGCCCTGCGTGAAAGCAGCCCACTCTCCCCAAACTCGAATCAGCCCGCAGAGACTGCCAACTGGGATGACTCTGCCCTCCGTCACTCCCCAGCTTGCCAAATTTAGGCAAACACATCATCCGCCTTTTTATTTGGCAACCTGAGGGAAGAGAGGTCAGTGCCTCTGACTGAACAGTCAGATACTGCATGTTTTCAAAATTCTTAGGGCTTTCTAGAATTTGTGTAGTCATGGGTTGTCTCTCTCCTGTCATTCGACCCATTTCAATAACCTCACTGTCCACTCCACACCCAGAACCAGACCACGTGCCAACCTCAGCCACAGGCTCCTGTCTCCCCCGTCGCACACGGTGCTGACCGACTAAGAACACCACTCATTGAAAACACAAACATGGAGATCGCATGCCCTCCGGTGCCCATCGGGTGTTCAGGGCAGAGTTCTTTGAACAGTTTTCTTAAAAGAGCAAGTCTTCTAGACTGATAACAACTGGCAAAACCACCTCCACATATGCTCTACGCAGATAACATAGGAGATTTTACCCAGCTTCTCTCTACATTGGGAGAGTTCAGCATGAGTTAAAGCCGTGGTTGTTCAACCTTTCTAATGCCATGACCCTTTAATACAGTTCCTTGTGTTGTGGTGACCCCCAACCATAAAGTTATTTTCGTTGCTACTTCATAACTGTCATTTTGCTACTGTTAATGAATCGTAATGTAAATATCTGTGTTTTCCAATGGTCTTAGGCTCTACAGCAGCGGTTCCCTGCCAGGGGGGCTGAGGCCCCGCTCTCATCTGCTTACTGTTTTCATAGCCTGTGCTGTGGCAATCAGGAATACTTTTTTGGATAAGGCAAAAGATCCTTCAATAATATACCTTTTTTTTCTTTCTTCCTTTCTCTATATATATTTGATTGATTCTCAGGGAGGAACATCGATTTGTTGTTCCACTTATCTATGCATCCACTGGTTGCTTCTTGTATGTGCCCAGACCAGGAAATGAACCTGCAGCCTTGGTGTATCAGGACAACACTCTAACCAACGGAGCTGCCTGCCAGGGTGACCGTTTTCTCCTTTTTGTTACTGACTTGTCCAGCAAAAGGAGCCTCCTGTTCTTAGGGAGTTTGCAGTCTAAATCCTAGAATGAAAAAGGAACTGGCTCTTCCTGAGAGCGAAGCTGTAGGAAGCTATCATGTCCTCCAGGGCACACACTTGCTTCGGAGGAAGCTGGGAGCAGCGGAAGGGCAGGGAGGAAAGTAGAACAAGCGGCAGTGTTACCGGGTTACTGACTCTTCTCCATCCTTCTTAGTAAGACATTTCCTTAGCAATCAGTTTATTACTAGTCCTCACTGTTTGAATCTTAGAAAAAAGAATGTTGAAGAGAAAGGAAATGGATTACTACGTTTCTGATTTTCTTCTTATAACTGAAGCTCACTTGGAATGTAGGGACTAGTCTGCGGTATAAAGGGCAAATGAACAACTGTGACACAAAGCTGGGAAAAGAGGAAGGAAAGCAACGAAACCCGCGTTAGGTTCACCTGAAAGGGACCGCTTTTGTAAGGGAGAGTCCAGGAAAGCGCAGCGAGGAGGCTGGTCCAAGAAATGAGGGAACTGCAGATTGCTTGCCGACTCCACCTCATCGTTGGGGTCACTTGGGGCAAAGCAGCTGCATCCTCTTCCTTAGTGGCCGAAGGGGGGGCGGGGGGAAGCGGAGGCATCGGACTCGCTTTAAGGCCAGTACTCGGTAAAGGGTAAGCGGTCTGCAAAATGCTTCGAGTGCCCAGGAAACAAATCAGAGGCAAAAATAAATAAATAAGTAATAACAACACAAAATAAAGCTCTGGTCGGTACGGCTGTGGTTAGAGCATCAGACCACGAACTGAAAAGTTGCGGGTTCAGTCCCATCAAGGACATGTACCTGAGTTGCAGGTTTGATTCCCAGCCCCAACAGGGGCATGTGAGGAAGGCAACTACTCAATGTGTCCCTCTCACATCAATGTTTCTCTCTTTCTGCCTCTCTCCTACTCTCTCTCTCAAAAAAAAATAAAAGGAAAAACTATCCTCAGGTGAGGATAAATAAGCTGCACATCACAAAGTGAGTCACTGAGAAGCAGAAACACCAATTTCCCAGGTAACCACCAGCTTCCGGGAGCTTCCTTGACCCTGTCCTCTGCTGTGACCCCTTCACCTAGAATGACCCCGGAATGGCCTGCTGGGGCAAAAGTTCTAGTTTTGGCTCTCATCCATAACTTAGGCCAGATGGAACAGATGCAGAGGGAGACTAGAGAGGAATTTGTGGGATACCTTCTATCTTGAGAGAAGAGATTTAAACCAATGTAACACACAGCTTGATGTACATCTGGCAATAACAACAAAGACACATTTGACCTATAAAAAGTCATTTAATGTATATTCCAGGATGGCCAATACAAGCTGGTTAGGTAATTAGCCCTTGAAGAGTTCCTTTTACATTTATATAAAAATGTTTTGCCTTGTTAAAAAAAAAAAAAAGAAATCTAGTCTAAGAAAAACATATCCACCATGGCTTGTATTTTCCCCCCATTTTTTAGGTCTGCAAGATAGTTAAAAATACATACATGTGCATCTCTGAGCGTATCACTGTCCATTAGCTAATCAGTTTTGGCAACACACTGCACAGAGGTATACCACCATTGGTTTCTGACATTAAGTTAGCTTTAAGCTTGTTGGCGATGCCAACGACAGGAGGCAGCTTGGAACCCAGTCCCTGGAAAGCATTTGCGGAATTCACGACCCGTTTCCCTGACACCTTCTCCACGGTAAGAGATTTGGGTACAGACTTGCTGATCCACGGGTGTCTTAGTGCTTGAGCTGGGGTCAGGCGGGCGGTGGGGTCCCAGTGAAGACACCTTTTCAAAAACTCTATGAACAAGTAGTCATCGCACCCTTTCAGAGCTGTCACCCAGTCTTTGCTACCTGGGGGACCTCGCTTTTTACCCCTCCTCGAGCGACCCCCCACCAGCACCACCCTCCCGTCAGCCTGAGTAGTCACGGAGCAGTAGCGAGGTAGGCCCTTGGAGTTAATAAAGTACTTGGCACGTTTGGACTGCTCCAGCAGCTTGGGCGGTGGCATCCCTAGCAGCTCCATCATACAAGCCAACTGGTCCCCCTCGTCCTCCCCCGGGAAGAGGGGCTGTCCGGTTAGAAGTTCTGCGAGAATGCAGCCAAAGCTCCACATGTCGATGGGGGTGCTGTAGCGGCCCCCCAGGATGATCTCCGGAGCCCTGTAGAAGCGGGACTGGATGTACGTGTAAAGCTTCTGGTACTCGAAACAGCTGGACCCGAAGTCAATGACCTTGGTGGCGCTGCGCCCGTGGTGCTTCAGGAGGATGTTTTCTGGCTTCAGGTCACAGTGAATGATCTTGTTTTTGTGGAGCGCATCCAAGGACTGCAAAATGGATTGAGCGAACTTCCGTACCAGCTGGACGCTGAAACCCTGAAACTTGTTTTTCTTGATGAGCTCGTACAGGTCTATGCTCAGCAGCTCGAAGGCCATGCACACGTGGTTCCGGAACGTGAAGCTCTCCAGCATGTGGATGACGTTCATGCTGCCGGTCTTATCCTGCTTCCGGAGATGCTCCAGGATCCGGATCTCCTCGGCGGCTTGGCGATGGAAACGCTTCTCGTTGCGCACCATCTTCAGGGCCACGTACTGTCGGAGTTTGTGGTCGTAGACCCGGGCGACCTGTCCGAAGCTCCCCTTGCCGATAATCTTCAGCACCTCGTAGCGATAAGCGAGGTGGTCTCGAGGCACGTGAATGTAGGCCCCTTCGGCATCATCATACCCCCCGTTATTGGGACCGCCAAGGACTCCATGCCTTTTTTTGGCATTTGGACCCACAAAGTAAATTTCTGGGTAATTGAGGATTTCCAGCTTCTCGTAACCGGTGAGCAGGTGCTTATACTGCTTCAGTGCCTGCTCCGGGGTCAGAGGCACCACTCTGGGGGCTTTGGGTGAATTGCCGGATTTCACCGTGCTCTGGCTATCTGAACTTTTACCCTGAGAGACAGGAGAGCACTTTTCCGAGTTGTGAATGCCATCCGACTGGAAAGTGTCAGCTCTTCGGTTGCCAAATTCTTGAAACAGCTCTTCTACCTTCATCTCACCTCCATTCAGAAAGCGCTGGGTATTCTCTCTTGTTAACTGCTCAGTGGTGATCTATGGAGAAGGAAAATGAATATGTGAGGGTCACACCAAAACAGTGGAAGGATGAAAGAATCCTCCCTGGCACAACAAGAGAACATATCCAGTTGTTTAAGTAACAGGACCCAAAAGTGAGGTAAGAAAAGGAGGAGTCTCTAGATACTGTTATGTTAATCTTCAGACCCCCTGAGTATTCTAGCCACCCCTAGCGCCTATATGTGCCTTGTTCTGTTCGAGACAAAGTCTTCTTACCATACCCTAAGCATTCTAGTTCCTTCTAATAGGCATGTCTTTCTACTGAGAGTCCTTTCGTCCTAATCACTCTAATCCTAGTCTTTCAAGCCCAATTCAAGACCTCTTTCTTCCACTTAGAATTACTCCAAGCCCATACTAAATAACCTTATAGCTTTTTTAGTCTGTACCACAAAATCTGGCACTTGATTTTACACACACACACATACACACACACACAGGATTATATTTTTTTACTAATGGTTTCAAGTACCTTCCCAAATCTTAAAGGCATATAAGCAGAATCAAAATAATGTACATTCAAGTGTTCTGTAAATATTAAAGAATAGAGGCAGGATTTGAACCCAGATCTTCTGACTATCTGCAGTGCCTTCCCATTAACATATCTTGGCACCAGGTTCTCCTACTGCTTGTTCTACTGCTTTCCAGGAGGGCTGAATGCTGAGCAGGGTCTGGAACCAACCAAGGTCCCTAAATAAGCTATTGCAGCCTTCTGGCCCAGCTCATTGAATCACAAAAGTTCTAAGCCAAAGAGAACTCTTGAGACCATCCAGGCCAATTCTTTGTGTACCTGAGTACCAGTGAGAAATCAATGCCCCGTGCTTCTTGTCACACTCTCCTGAAGTCTCTCTCTCTCTCACATACACTCACGCCTACTCTTCCTCAGCATGAGCCTCGGTGATGAAGACATATTACTATCCTCTTCACGTGGTTTTTGCTTAACCTCTGCCTTCAAAAACAGTAACCCACAAAAGAAAGCTCTCCTTACTCCTCTGAAATGAGACAAGATTCTTTGAAATTAGATGGAAGTAAAGAAAAGCAAAAAATCCAAGCACTAAAAAAAACAAAACAAAACAAAAAAAACACTATGAAAAATGTAAAAAGGTGCTAGAAAAAAAGTTATGGGACACTTCAAAGGACATCTGTTTTTCTTAATAAATCCTAAAGAGCTGTACTCCCAATCGTTTGATAATTTCTCACAGTCTCTATGATCAAGGAGAGGTAATTCCAGGAGTGCTCTTAACTACAGTCACAATCCCTAAAAAATAAAATTTAAAGGTAATGACATAAAATGGCCAAGCCTTTAAAAAATAAACTAAAGAAACAACACCTGGCTTATTCCCTTAAATAAATAAAATATAAAAGATGAAAATATAAACAACAAAAAAAAGGATGATAGTGATAGTATTTAAGTGTTGATATACTCTTTTAAAGACAGCTCCCAATCTAAGTTATAAAAGCAAAATATTGGTTCTTGCCTCCTCCTTTTAGGTCATTGAATCGATTGAAACATTTAGAGTACCACAGTTAAGAAATGAGACATTATTACACAATCTTACACAAAAGCAGCCTGAAAAATTACAGCCACACTTTGGCATTTACTTTTGAAGTAAGGAGGTGAAATATGGACCAGGAAAAATCTCCCTTATACCTAAATAGATAACTATCACTGGTCAAAAAACTAAAATGGGCCTGCAGACAGAACCTAAATACCTTGCTAAGATAGAAAATATAATGCAAGGTTCTTCTCGTCAGTAATTAAGTCAAATAACTATTCCTGTTCTAAGGATGAAAAATATAAGAGGGACCAGTCTCTCCATCCAACATTCACATGAACATTTATTGTTCACTATTACAAATGCTACAAAAACATAGCATTCTCAAGGAACACCCATGAATTAGGAGAGACTTCCGTTGAACTAGGGAATTATAAATGTTTGGTTTTAGGTAGACTTACATAACAAAATGAACATCTGCATACATCTCAGCCAGTTTCCTTTAAAATGTTTACCCTCTAACTTAAATATATCTGGATATTTACCGCTAGTCTTAGGACCCACTCTGAAGCATTGTGAAGTCAGAAGGCTTGGGTTGGGGTCCTGTCTACACTGCTTAAAAGCTGTAAGTCTTCGCACAGGTTGCTTAACCTTTAGCCCAGTTTCTTAGCCTCTTATCTGTAGGATGTGGACCGAATACCTGACGTTGGTGTGACTCAGATGATGATGGTGATAATATATGTAAAAGACTCTCACAAACTAGAAAACATTTAAAAAATACTTGTAACAAATATTTCTCAATACATACGATTTAAACTCCTACACACTCTCCCTTTCCCCTTTCAGTTTAATCTCTTCTCTCTGGGAGGGCCTTCTTCCATATTTCCAGCCTCCCTCCACTGAGTCTGCACTGGCATGCCTCCTACTCCATCAAGCCCCAACAGGCCTTCCCTCAGGGTGCACAGAATCACCTCACCCACTGTCTCCCCCACGAAGCACTTGCTTGCAACTTGCTATACAATTGAATGTGTTACCTCTCCAGAGATATTTGCACTTTAACGGAGGATCAATGCCTTAACTCAAAGGAATGCCTCTCTAGGAACTGCAGCCGTCAATGACCTGCTGGTAGGAAAGGGATTTGTGGTCCAGGGCCCGTCCCTGGGCATCTCACCTACTCTGCCTACATGTAAGGCTGCGCTGGCTCTGGAGGTCTTCGTCTCTGTTTGCGATAAAAAGAGGGTCTCAGGTTCAGAACATGAATAAGAACAGATATATAACAGAAATTTAATTTCCACAGAAATAGTACAATCAGATTTAATTTTGATTTTGATTTCCTGACTCATTGTTTTTCCCTAATATGGAGCCTACATCTCCCCCTCACTCTCCCACCCCCCCAAAAAAAAATTTAAGTCTTGTTTTGCCCCCTGGAACTACACAGAAGTATCCAAATTTCATGTAAATGCTCTTAGATACCTACAAGGGGCTGCCCTGCCCCCACCAGTTTTTTTCTCTGACATTCTCCACCTCCCACGGCTGTGTCAGGTTCCCTTACTATCCCATTCACGTCCTCAGTACAGGCTGCATTTTATGTCTCTCTTCAAGTGTGGCTCCCAGAACAGAACATGATGCTTCAGGTGTAGTTCACCATGGATTGCCAAGGTTCCGATCTCCAGTGAATCTGAAGAATTCCAGGGAGGAATTTTTCCACACCGAGAGGGGTTTTCTCCTGAGCTTTCTTTCTTTTCCTGTAAATATCTCAAATACCGGCCTGAATCAATTATGTATCAAGTCTGTTGTGCTATAAATAAAATCTCCCACTGTTCTAGGAGACTCTAGATTTTTCACACATGTTACAGTGTAACAGTTTTAAACCACTGTATATCCCCAGTCTTGGGTTTATAATCACAATAAACAAATAATGTATATGATCAAACTATCTCGAATATCTTAACTATGTAATTGTATCCAGAGAAACAGATAAAGCCAGATGAGTTATGTTTTATTCAAGAATGCTTCATATATACTATTAATGTGGAGGTCTCTTGACATTTCAAATAGAATCTTCCACTGTGTTAATCAAGTCTTAAAGATCTTGTTAAGAAATTCAGAAAAAAAATTAGCCTTCTCCCCCGTATAGAAAACGCTACCCTCCCTAAGTTCTTGACCTAAAAATCTCTGCAACACAACACTTAACCCAATAAAAGCCCAGAAGCAGATAATGGGTAGGTTACAATGAGAATGCAAGAGCATCTTGGATCAAGAACAACACTACAGACTTTGTGAAAATAGTAATAGGGTGTCGAGACAGATTCATAGCAGCATGAACTATAAGTGTAGCCAAGACGTCAAAAAGCATTTTCCTGCAAAATTTGCAAAGACATTGGGTTAGAATCTACAATCTTGTGTTTCCCCAAAATTGCTACTCTAAATACCATACAGGAAGAAATTAATTTTGGTCTTGACACATACAATGTAACTGACCTACTGGAAGATGACGAGCATTAGCCGACTCTGAATTAAAGTTACAGTCACATGGTAATGCGCCAGCCTCCTATAGAATGGTGCTAATTGGCAGCAAGTCATCAGGAAATCGGAGGGTCAACACAAGGAATATGTGGTTCTGGACTTCTCAGAGATTTTTACGTATTAAAGAAATAAACTTATGGAAAGGAACCTTACTTCCCTTCACAGAGAGTTTAAAAATAGGGTGACCAGCCTTCCAAATATATTTAGCCCATACTCTGTATTATTAGCTTTGAAAGTAGTGAAATGGTTGATCAGCAAAAGCTGTCAAAAAAAAAAATTGGGAAGGACTATGAAAAATACAAGTAATGTTTTTCATATAGAAACCATTTTAGGTCTTCAACACAGAAATATGAAGGAGAAATATTACAAATCAGTCTCTGCAATTATTCAATTTGTTCATTAGGTGCACAAATTTAAAAGTGACAGGATAGCTTCTCCCTATCATGGGACTTGTCCAAACCCTGGTCTCCTTGCTACCCTAAGGGAATATGAATCAATTTTTTTTTTTCTTAAGTAAAATAGTGTCCAAAGCTGAATTTCTGCAGTCTCCAAAATAATTAAATGCCTCAAAAACCAAACTGTGCCGTTATGTTTTATTTATGAGCTATAAAATGGGTGTTTTCAAACTGATGATTGCCAGAGGGGTAGGAAAGGGGAAGGAAATTAAGAAGCACAAACTTCCAATTATAAAACAAGTCATGCGATGAAAAGTACAGCATGGGGAATATAGTCAATATCATAACTCTGCAAAGTGCCAGGTGGATACTAGACTTTTATCACTCTGTAAATTATATAAATGTGTATAAATATATAAACTATAAAAAAGAATAAATTAAAAAAAGAAAATGTAAAATTAAAAAACATTAGCATACTAATAAGCTAAAACTTCATTTCTAATTGCAGGAAAAAACCTGTAGACCTATGAATTCAGGGATATTTTTGTTAAATGTAGCCTTTGAATACAGTATATATCATGTCATAACAAAATAAACATCCCCTAGATAAAAGCAGCATATTATTTTCTTTCTAAGGCCATGTATTTATCCCAGTGATTAAAAAGAATCGGTGAATAATAGAAGTTACTTTTAAAATATATTTTTATTGATTTTTAGAGAGGAAGGGAGAGGGAGAGGTAGAGAGAAACATCAATGATGAGAATCATTGATCGGCTGCTTCCTGCATGCCCCCTTCTGGGAATCCAGCCTGCAACCTGGCAAATGCTCTTGGCAGGAATCGAACCCGGGACCCCTCAGTTCTCAGGCGGACGCTCTATCCACTGAGCCAAACCAGCCAGGGCTAACAGAAGTTATTATTCCAATATCAAGAGAAAGCCAAAAGGAAACAATGTCTTGGTTGCCAGTGAGATGTAACTGTACCTTGGGTATTAAGTAGCACTTCCTCCTTTCCAAGACAATTACAGCACAAAGAATGACTTCATGTACTTACATTTAGTCTTCTAGGCAGAGATGGCTCAGAAGGATTGCAGAGAACATTTGAACAGGGTGGGCATTTGGTTTCATCTATCATCATGAAGGTATCATAGACACCATCCCCCAATCTAGTTGAAAGAATCGAAGATAAGATCTGTTAGTGACTGAAGTACACACATTTTTATTTCCAAAACATCCTGTGTCTTAACTCTTCAGATCTGCCACAAGAATAATGCATACAAATAAATGCCTATGCTGCACTGGGGTGTTTGGCAGAGGAAGAAAGGAAACCAAAATTTTAAAAGTATAGATAGCATTTCTAGGTTTGTATTTTATAATAGTTAAAACAAGTCTTTCTTTCTGGATGTTGTTAAAAAGAGGAGATATCAAAAAAGATTTCATTTAACTTACTACCTAGTTAAATTCTGAAGCCTAAAAACTGACTTGGTTTTTCTAATCTCAGCTCTCTACCACTGGCTGCCCTGCATCCCTCCTAATTCCGTTTTCCACAAGCCACAATGGGGAGAATAATTCCAGTCTACATCTTCTGGGTCTTAAAGGCAAGAAATAAAGGCCTTCTGAGGGCTTTCTCTCCACCCCCCCCTCGCCCCGTACCTATTTAGCATCTAACCTAACATGTAGAAAAATACAGCAAAAACTACAGCAAATACTAAGAAATCCTCTAAACTACAAAAGTACTAAATTTATGGGGGGTGGGGGGGAGATTGGTAAGATATGTACACACATAATACCTTAATTTAAAAAAATGAAAAAAAGTACTAAGTTTCACTTCTTTTTATCCACTCCATTTGGATATACTACATGCTAAATGCTACATGATTAAGGATCGTCTCTCTCTTTTTTAACACTGTGTCTATACCATGGTAAGGAAACACAAAAGATGAAAAGGATTTATTTAACCCACAAGATGGCCCTGAATAATGTACTTCATCTACCACCAAGAACGTGGATTTCTCAGTTACACACGCCAGCATTTCATTCTGTCATTTTTATATGCTACACAATGATGATGGCCGGGATGCAGGGAAAAGACTTTTTTTTTTTTTTTTTAATCTTTAAAATATGCTAGAATATTTGTCGCCTTTAGAAACTGTTTTTGTAAAATTCGTTCTAGGGTTTTGTTAATTGGTCTTGTAAGAATATACACAGTAAGAAAAAATAAGACAGACAACACTACAAATATTTTTGAAATGTTCTTTTTAAAACAGGCTCGCATTCTGACAGAATCATTTGTATCTTTAACGAAAACTGCTTCATCGACAAAACCCAAAAAAATTCTGGATGTGGCTCAGTCTGCCAACAGTATGAACAAAACGGGACAGACGTCCAGGTTTAAAAAGAAAAAAAGATCTGCAGATTTCTCATAAATCCCCAGAGGGAATTACCCAAAGGAAGTCTCCATGCAAATGAAGCGAGCAGGGGCCCCTCTCCCCCACTTCGGGGTAAAATACAATGCAAGGAGGAGGACCTCTCCAAATAGGATCCCCCGAAGCCCCTGCAGCAGAGCCCTTCCCCGGCAGATCCAAAGCCAGCCGCACCCCTGCCCTCCAAGCCCCAAGTTCAGCCTCGGTTATCTGCTCTGAGCAACAGGGCTCCTCTGAAAGCTATTGCTCCCTGTCTCCCCCAGGGAGAGTCTGCTAAAAAGTCCCAGCTTCTCAGAGTTCCTTACCATATTACTCACCCCTCCCGCCCCCCAACCCCCCGAACTAGGGCTTCAGAGACACCCCCGAGGCTGGGAATTCCTCTTGCCCTAAATCCGCCCCAGCTCCCTCCCCGGCTCTCGGTGGGCTGGGGGGAGGGGAGCAGAAGAGAAAGGGGGGGGCGGCTCCTGGGAGTGGGTCAGATCCCTCCCTTCGTCCCTCCCGCTGGGGTCCAGGCCTTCCCCGCCCCCTGGCCTCGCCAGCCAGCGCCGGCCGCTCGATCCGGAGCCCCCAGCCCGTTACCCGGCAGCGCCGTTACCTCCGCTGCTGGGGCGGGAGTCCGGCTCCGGGCGGCCCCGCATCCTTCCGCCCGGGCCCGCGAGCCGAGCCTCCCATCGGCTAGCTCGGGACCCCCGGGGGGAGGGGCGGCGGTTGGAGGGCCCGACGGGCAGCGTCCACTTGCGCCGCTGGGGCAGCCGCCTCCCGGGCCACGATGCCTCCCCGGGGACTCTCGTGCAGACACTGCAGCTCCACGCGCCCCAGCTCGCGACTGGCGGCGGGGCGGGGAGGGTGGGGAGGACGGGCCGACTGGCTGGCGGGGAGGGGCGGGGCGGGGCGGGGAGCGCGCAGTGTGGTCGCCTAGCAACCGGGCACGCCCCGGGAAACGCCTCTGCGCAAAGACGCATGACGCACGGGGGCGGGGCCCGTGGCCTCGGCCCACCGCGCAGGCGCCGGGAGGGCCGCGAGGGGCCGCCGGGGTGGGCGGACGGGTTCTCCCGGCGGCGGGCTGAGGGCGGCGGAGGGCGGCGGTGGAGGATGGTGCCAGCGGCTCTCTGAGTCCCCTGTCTGCCTCAGAAGTCTGCTGTTCCCTGAACAGGCTGCAGCCTGGAGTTCTAAAAACCTCGTTGGGATATGAATTTTTTTTTTTTTTAATGTGTAACTTTGGAAGACTCCTCATGCGGAGCCTCCGGCCACCCCGCCCCACACACCGGGCCCTAAGTTACGTCGAAGAGCCGTCACAAGCCCCGTTCGTGACCCTGCCAGGGCTTTCAAACGTTATATTGTTTTAATTTTATTTTATTTATTTTACCTCAGGAACCAGACCAGATGACAGGGTTTCCCCCCTCTCCCCCAACCGCCCTCTTTTACCGCTTTCAGCTCTCTTTTCCAGAATATAAACGGAGGACCGAGTCCCCGGCAGTGGGATGCTACGGAGGGTAGGTCACAAAGAGCCCTTTTAGGGATGAGAAAACGGAGGCCCGAGGAGCCCGGCTCCCCCAGAACCTTCCCGTTGGCAAAACCTGACCTAGAAGCGTGCAGCTTCCCCGGCCTCCCGCCTGCTGCCCTTGGGGACAGGCTTTTTCTGTCTTTTTCTGTGGAATGTGTGTGTGTGGAGTCAGTGTGAAACGGATTTTTGGTAGGTGAAAGTGAGAGGAAAAGATGTTAGAAGAGCACGAGTGTTTTTGGCTTTTTGTTTGTTTGTTTTTCTTGAGTGCGGCATCAATTCGGGTTTCCTAAGCCTGCCCCGCCCGAGGCCACCTGACCCTCGTGAAAGGAGCCGAGCGCCGAGTTCAGCAAACGCCGGAGGTGGGCGCCCCCTGCTGGTGGGACTTGGGGACTCGTGGGCCCAGACCGCAGTCCGTAAGTGAAAAAATTTCCACCCAAGGCTCCTTTTCCGCATGACTAAAAGTCATATTTCTTGTTTTCATGTTTCCAAGTAAACTTCCCTTAAAACCCAAAGGCTCTTCACTTATTAAATTAAGAATGTATTTGTTTGGGGGGATTTTATTCTTTGTGATCAATGTTGTGTTAGCCTCTGATGTAAATATAAGTAAAAAATGTGGTCTTACATGATGCTTTAAAAAGTTTTCAATTTTATAAAGTTGTTTTGTTTGTTTTTTTTTTTTGCCTCTCACCCCAGAGCAATCCTGTTTTCTTACAGGTTTGTATTTGGGCTCCAGTGGAAGCTTTTTTTTTTTTTAAAACAAAACCCCAGGGCAACAAAAGGTTTGAGCTAGGTTGTTGCTGAAGGTCCCTTTCAGCTCTAAGATTTGCAAAACTCTGTTATTAACAACCACTCTCCTTAGTACCTATGTGTGGACACCTCAGACCATTTCACATCGGACTTGCCCCACAAGTTTTGTGATGACCTCATTCTGAATCACTGCTTTGAGAGGATTGGATCTCTGTGTCCCAGGCGTATCTCTGGGAGCCAACCTGAAGCATCTCTGCTCCCTTCCTCCCAGAGACAGGAAACACCAATCCTTTATCCCATGGTCAAGGGGTGGGGAGGATTCCTTGAGGTTGCTGGAGCTTCATACATCTCTAACATTAGTGACCCAAATACTTTACAGGGTTTCTTCAAAGAGGCCCTGATTTAACAGGTGGCTGGGTTCAAGTCCCCCACTGAGCTGCAGCTTCCCCCTCCAAAGCCTCACACATTCTTTGCAGCTGCTTCCCTAAAGTAGTGAAGACTATTTTAGATTATTTTCCCAGTTCTTTAAAAATATATATTTTATTGATTTTTTTTTCACAAAAAGGAAGAGAAAGGGATAGAAAATTAGAAACATCAATGAGAAACGTTGATCAGCTGCCTCCTGCACACCTCCTACTGGGATGTGCCTGCAACCAAGGTGCATGCCCTTGACCAGAATTGAACCTGGGACCTTTTAGTCCACAGACCCATGCTCTAGCCACTGAGCCAAACCGGTTAGGGCTTTTATTTTATTTTTTTATTTTTTATTTTTTATTTATTTTTTATTGCTTTTAGAGAGAGGAAAGAAGAGAGGGAAAGAGAGGGAAACATCAATGATGAGAGAGAATCATCAGTTGGCTGCCTCTGCATGTCCTCTACTGGGGATCGAGCCCAAAACTTGTGCATGTGCCCTGACTGGAATTGAGCTGTGACCTCCTGGTTCATAGGTCAGTGCTCAACCACTGAGCCACTCCTGTCAGGCTATTTCCCAGTTCTTGAATCTGGCCAGCCATATGAGTTGCTTTGACCAAAGAAAGTGACAGAATTGTGTCATTGTGAGTCTAAGCCTCAGGAGACCTTACAGGTTCTCTCTTATGCTCTTAGATGCTGCCACCATGTGGACAATTCTGAACTAGATTGGCGGAGAGTGGCAGGGGCTGACTCTCCGCCAATCTAGTTCAGAATTGAGAGGCCGAGCCAGACGAGTTGTGTTGCCAGATGACTGCATTCACATGAGGATCCCAAGCCAAGCCAGCCGAAGAACCAAGTCAGCAGATCCTCGAGAACTGTGAGCAAATAAAATGTTATTTAAAGCCACTACATTTTGGGGTTCTGCAATAAATAAATGGTACTTTTGAAAAATACCCATTCGGACCTACCCACCAATCCCTCCAGATCTAATGATTAAAAATTCCTTGATAAGGGACTCCACTGATGTATATTTTTTAACCTTTATTGCTGAGAGTATTACAGATGTCCCCCTATTACCCCACTCTTGTTTCCCACCCCACCCCAAACCTTCAGCACCCTATTGTCTGTGTCTATAGGTAAGATCTTTGGTTAATCTCTTTCTGCCCCCTCTCCCCTTCCCACTGAGATTCGTTAGTCTGTACTATGCTTTTATGCCTCTATGTGCTATTTTACACACCAGTTTATTTTATTCATTAGATTTCTTGTTTATTTGGATATTTATATTCAATTATTGATAGATATGTATTTGTTGCCATTTTATTGTTCATATATTTTATCCCTGCTCCTCCTCCCTCCTCCTCTTCTCTTCCTCCTCCTCCTTTTTCTTCTCCTCCTCATCTTCTTAAGGAATACCCTTTAACATTTCATGTAGTACTGGTTTGGTGATGATGAACTCCTTTAGCTTTTTCTTGTTTGTGAAGCTCTTTATCTGACCCTCAATTCTAAATGAGAGCTTTGCTGGGTAGAGTAATCTTGGTTGTAGGTCATTGCTATTCATCATTTTGGATATTTCTTGCCAATCCCTTCTGGCCTGCAAAGTTTCTATTGAGAAATCAGCTGATGGTCATATAGGCACTCCCCTGTAGGTAACTAACTGCTTTTCTCTTGTTTCTTTTAAGATTTTCTCTTTGTCTTTAACCCTTGGCATTTTATTTATTTTTTAAATTTTTAAAAAATACATTTTATAGATTTTTGATAGAGAGCCAGAAACATCAATGAGAGAGAAACATTGACTAGCTGCCCCCTGTACAGCCCCCACCGGGGATGTGCCTGCAACCAAGGTACATGTTCTTGACTGGAATCAAACCCGGGACCCTCCAGTCCCCAAGTCAAAGCTCCATCCACTGAGCCAAACCGGTTTCGGCTATTTTTTAAAATATTTTCATTGATTTGAGAGAGAAAGGGAGAAGGTGGGAGAGAAACATCAATGATGAGAGAGAATCATTGATTGGCTGCCTCCTGCACGCCCCCTACTGGGGATCTAGCCTACAACCTGGTATTTGCCCTTGACCGGAATTGAACCCGGGAACCTTTAGTCTGCAGGCCACTGCTCTATCCACTGAGCCAAACTGGCTAGGGCAACCCTTAGCATTTTAATTATGATGCATCTTAGTGTGGGCCTCTTTGGGTTTCTCTTGTTTTGGGACTCTCTGTGCTTCCTGAACTTGCAAGTCTCTTTCTTTCACCAGGTAGGGGAAGTTTTCTGTCATTAATTTTTCAAATAGAGTTTCGATATATTGCTCTCTCTCTTCTCCATAATGCAAATGTTGGTATGCTTGAAGTTGCCCCACAGGCTGTTTACACTATCTTCATATTTTTGGATTCTTTTTTCTTTTTACTCTCCTGATTACGTGATTTTTTCTTCCTCATAATCCAAAAAGTTGATTTGATTCTATGAATCCTCTATTGTTGAATCTCTGTAAATTATTCTTTATTTCAGTTAGTGTATGCTTAATTTCTGACTGGTCCTTTTTCATGTATTTGACATTCTCACTAAGATCTTTGAAAGTTCATTGAGTAACTTTATAACCAGTTTTGAACTATGTATCTAGTAGTTTGCTTGTTTCATTTCTTTCATCTGTGGTATGATTCTTTGTCTCTGCATTTTGGTTGCTTCCCTGTGTTTGTTTCTATGTATTAGGTGGAGCGCTACATCTCCTGGAATTGATAGGTGTCCTGTAGGGCCCAGTGCCTCAGCCTCCTCAGTAACCTGAGCTGGGCACTCTGGAAGCACCCCTGTGTGGGCTGTGTGCACAGACTTGTAGTTGAGCCTTGATTGCTATTGGCATCACAAAGAGGAGTTGACCTCCAGGCCAATTGGCTGTGAGGACCACAGTGGGAGAACAGCTGTGCAGGATACACTCCGATGGAGCAGGATTTGCTTCAGTGGGGCTTTGTTGCTCACTGAGTCTGCCCCTTGAGTGTGTCGTTTATGGATGTGTAGAGTTGT